TGAATAGCCAAATCTTTTGCAGCAGGATTATCAACTTTTGAAAAGTCAAAAGTATCAAGTCGTCGATGATAACCATAATTTGTAAAGAAAAGTGTTTATTTTGTAGAAGAATGTACCGTGTTATTATAAGCAAATCCTGCCAATGGTAAAAGATTTGTCCAAACATCTTGTTGGTAGTTAAAGGTACATCTTAAATATTGCTTCAAAACTTGATTAATACGCCTCATTTATCCATCAATTTGAGGATGGAATACCGAAGATAGTTTTATATCTACTTTTAGAATCTTAAAAAGAGTCTACCAAAATCTTGATACAAATTGAGTTCCCCAATCTGATATAATATCCTTGGATAATCCATGATAGCGATAGATATTGTCAAGAAAGAGCTTAGCTGTTTCTTCACTTGTGATAGATTTTGTAAATGGCACAGAATGTGCCATCTTGGTAAAACGATCTACTTTCACGAATATAGAATCATAAAAATCTGACATTGGAAGATCCGTGATGAAATCCATAGAAACAAAAGACCATGGTTGTTCAAGAATGGATAATGGCTAAAGAAGTCTGTAAGTTTGATGACGAGGAGTTTTTGATCTCGAGCAAACATCACAAGATTGTACAAAATCTTTGACTGCTTTCCACATTTACGGCCACCAAAAGTCCTTGGATATTAGTTCCAAAGTTTTATTGTACCTAAAATATCCTGATGCTGGAAAGTCTTGACGAGCTTGAAGAACACATAATCGAGCTTCACCTTCTGGAACATATAGGCAATCCTCAAAATATAATAGATTCTTCTTAAATTCAAACTTGGAAGTATCATGAGACTTTAAAGGATTTCCTTTAATATCATGAATAACAGTATCAAAAGACATACTTGACTGAACTTGCTTAATGAAAGTTGAATCAACAGTTAGTATTGATTTCATTGCTCGAAGATGAAGATGCTATGGCTTCAAGAAAGATATCCATTGTTGATCAAAAGTAGCATCTCTTTCCTTTGGTACAAGATAAGATCGTCTAGAGATTGCATCTAATAAACCTTGTTGTTTTCTTAGTCGATAAATGATCTTAAATTCAAATCTTGACAAAGACATACTCCAACGGGCTTGGTGACGATTCAAAACTCGTGCTGACATAAAATATTCAAGGTTCTTGTGATTCATATATACTATGACTGAGCTAGAAGTACCTTCTAGATAATGGCACCATTCTTGAAACGAATCCACGATTGCAAGAAGTTCTTTGTCGTGGATCTTGTAGTTGATCTCGACTGCTAAAAAATTTCTGGAATGAAAAGCTATTGAATGAAGTTTATAATCTGTTCCCACTTGTGACAATAAGACATCTAAAGCAAAGTTTGATGCATCTGTTTCCTTAAAAAATAGCTTAGAAAAATCGACACAATATAAGATTGGTGTAGAAACAAAGGCTTTCTTAAAAGCTTCAAATGCTACTTCTGCTTTTTCATTCCATTGAAATTTGTCTTTACAAGTTAAACATGTAAGTAGAGCTGCAACTTGATAGAAGTCTTTGATGAAGATCCGATAGTAGTTGCCAAATCCCAAAAAGCATTGGACATCTCTTACCATTTTTGAGCTCTTCTAATCCATAATAGTTTGAACTTTCTTAAGATCCATCATAAGTCCATCATTTGAAATGATGTATCCTAAGAAGTCAACTTGAGTAGTGTAAAATACACACTTTTCTATCTTGGCATAGAGTCTTGCATCTCTTAGTTTCTGTAATACATGATGAACATGAAGTTCATGTTCTTCTTTGTTCTTAGAATAGATTAAGATGTTGTCTAGGTAAAAGACAACAAAATCATCTAAAAACTCCCGAAAGACATCATTCAATAGGAATAAACAAGTAAGACTTGATATGTATATTAAAAATAATAGAAATAACTTGATATGTATATTAAAAAAGAAACGGGAATGGCTATTGCCAAAAGCTAAGAAAACTAGAGACCCTTGAAACTAAATTGGAAGCAAGAAAGGAGTTGACAAGAGTGAAGAAGGCTTCACTCTTGTCTCTATATATACTATCTTATTAGGGGCTATGTGGCGATGTTCTATAGGACCTCCAACATGTGTTAACTTTGTAGGACACATTCCTTGACTTACAAGGCAAGTTTTTCTACGTGTGGGCCACATAGTTAGCTTAGTCTTCAAGCTAACAACATGTGTGGCACATGGCCAACTTGTTGACCACGTTTCTAATCCAAAAAGTCAATTAAAGATACCTATAAAGTGAAAGCAGCATCTATAAAGCTTCTAAGAAGCTTCCATAATAAATATTATAGAATTAATTTGTTTTTACCTACTTTTACTTATTTTTATCTATTTATACATGTAATTATTGGCTTACATGCGTATGTCCATGACATTCAGTGGTATTTATTTTGGATAGTTGGAGGTATTATCACATTTTGAAGAACCATTGATATACATCTTCTTATCTTGAAGTCCCAGAGTATGTACTAGATTTATTCAATTTTAATCTAGAAAATATCGATTCTTTTATTCTTAAGGCTTTCATTTGCCCATATAAGGTAGCTATATGGCTTAAGAAGTGATATATTTGAGCCTACATCTAGGATTTCTCTGCCATATCTTTTATGCTAGAATTTTTCCTGTTGGATTCTACTATTGTAATGCATTTTCACCTTCCTATTGACTTTTTAGGAATAACTCGTGATAGCCTTAATATAATATCCAGTGTCACTATAATAATTAATCTTGAACTAGATAATGGCTATCAACATACTACCAAAGAATAGTCTAATACTTGCTTTGATATTAATGAAACAAGACAAGTCTATTTTGAAAATCTAAGATTCTTCTAGTCCACAACCATATAATATCTCATGACAAAGTAGGACAAAATGGACTAAAAAAAAATAAACAAAATTAAACAAAATAGGATATAAAAGACAAAATTGTGCAAACAAAAATAGCACAATACGGACATGAAGAAGAAGGTGCAAAACCAAACTTTACTAAGAGAGAAGGTCCAAAGCCATACTTGACCACATGTCCACAAGGCCTCGGCTAATCCTCTTTATACTTTATTCTACCACCCTAGACTTTTAAGAATGTTCTTAAATATTAGATCCTACTTAGATAATCTCCCTAAACTCCCTTTAAAAGGTTTTATGATAGACCCCACCTAGATAACCATCCAAAGTATTTTTTAAAAGGATCTATTATTGGCTCTACTTAGACAACTGCCTTAATTCTTTTTAGAATGTTCTACGGTGGATCCTATATGGTCCATTAACCTAGCCTCAATTCTAGAAACTTCTATAACTTCTTAAGTATGGTTCCAACTATCTATCCCTATGTGTCAATAATACAGATATCTCATCTATACCTTATTATATTTCATGTAATAAATTCAAATTGAGAGACAACAATAATAAATTGGTTATTGATATTGCCATCGAATCTTACAATGGCATTAGTAAAGTTATATTTTTTTTATTGTTGAGGAGTCCTCACAAAGAGAGGTCATATTTAAACTCACATAATACAAAGCATGCATCTTTTTAAAAAGTGGATATGTGTCTTCCAACTTTGCAACCACAATGTATATACCTTGCTTTTAATCTTTCTCATTAATGCCAATGAGAATAATAATTGACCAATCATACAAGCCTACAATTTTATTTTTGAAAGTATGCAATTAATCTAGTATATTAGTTGTGAAAAAGGTTGAACTTTTCTTTTAATGCTTTATTTATATTGACAATTAGCTACACTAAAGCTTTAGACATGATTGTCTATTATTTATATACCTTAGTCTTGCTTGAATTGTGCAATTTTTGGTAGTTTGTTGGATCTTTTGATCAGAACACAATTGCAATATATTCATTTATTCCAAAATGACCACCTTTTCTATTGTCTACAAGGCTTAAGATCTACTTTGGAGGCACAAAAAATAATAAAACATGTTGAGAAGGATGGAAATAGAATGTAAAGTTGATATAATAAATTAACTTGAAACTACTTGATACATCACCAAAATACTAGTAATACTTCACAAAATATCAAGAAGTATTAAAGTTTGAATAGTAATATTTTAGATTTGATAATTCAAATAATCCTTGAGATATCATATGTTGGATTCCAATTATTTGGTTTTGCAATAATACCATGTTTAAAATCCCTTGTTCTAAAGATCTATTCATATTTAAAATATATATTTAAAATTATTGTGGTAGTTCCAAAAAATAATTAAATTTATATATTTTTTATTTATCTATTTTATTTATATGTAATATATATTTTTAATTAAATAAATTTAAATTTAATCAATTTTATTTCAAAGATAAATTATAATATAGGTATATTTTATTGAATTTTTCATAAATAAATAAATAAAATGAGTAATTAACAGATTAGATTTATATCTTCATTATGAATATTTAAAAATAAAGATTTTACAAATAATGTTGTAGAGACAAACTTAATTTAATAACTTAAAGTTTTTTTTAAAAAAAATCTAAATATAATATTTATTCTTCTAATTAATAGCATTTTTTAGCTTTTTTAATATAAATCATCAATGAATAAAAATTTAGAATCAAATTTAATTTGAACTATTGAAAATATTTTTGCATATAAGATGAATATTTTGAAATTACCAACAAAAAAAAAATGTTAGAGTTTGTATGTGCCATGACATGGATTTTTATATTGAAATTAAAATACCAAAGTACATAATATATATCTATATAGAATTATTAATAAAATTGAATTATCAGATGTAATAACAATTCTTTAAGCAAGATGGTTTTTTTTTAATATTAAAAAATCTACATGTATATTTTATGGGTACAATAGTTTATGATAGAATTCATAATATAAGTATCTTACATATTTTTTTATTGCATAAGATTCAAAAGTTTTTAAATAAAACGTCATGGGTAGTTATTCTGCGTGGAGATGGACGTCCGTATTGCGGAACAGGTATGCACTATCAACCACCATGAGTAATGAGAAAGCGCAATTCCACTGGTTAACTGCAATGGTTTCAGATACTGAGGGATCTCAATATCTCAGGCGTCCGAGGGAATTGTCGATCAGGACATGGGCATGTAAAGTTAACACTCAGCTCAGAACTGAATTGATGGTTGAGAACTCGCTTAGGCCTCTAGTGCAGTGCAAAATAAAGATCAACGTCGACACGGTCTCCTTATTCGACGTAGACAGCAAAGCACACTCACTTATCTCTCTACTAACCTAGCGGTATATAGATTGAACTTCGCTGACCAAAGAAAGAGACCATTCCTCATAACACAGTTTTGATGCATTATCAGATGATTTGCGTCACAATCGCGCTACCCAACCGTTTCTTATTAATTGTGGCAGTACACATATCCTACAACGAGCACTCCAACGGAATTGTCGGCAAATCGTTTAGTTGGGCCTGGCGACCAAGAAACCGCAGATCTGGACCTGCTTCACATTGTCAAAGCCCAACACGCGCACGAAGCAGCCAGGGAAGGTTTTCTTGCATTCCTCGATCTCCCTCAACACCTGGGCGGAGTCCTGGCAACCGAACATGGGCAGCTTCCACATGGTCCAGTAGCGACCGTCATAGTACCCAGGGGATGAGTTGTTGGTACGAGACACACCGTTGGCGTTCTGTTTATGAGCCACGCCAGCCATTACGATCAGTAGGCTTTAAGAAAATGATAAACCCTCAACTCACACATTCAGCCAATGAAAAGCTCCGCTCTACTAGATGGTACACTACAATTGCAACAGTCAACAGGGATAGAGTAAATTGCAGCAATCAGCTGTAAAGGCAGCCGACAACCGTACAGAATCAGTACAGCAAAAACCAGGGTGTGAGGCTTACCACATCGAACTCGAGGCAGGGGATGAGATTCTGCTGGATCATGTACTCCACCTGCTTGGCGATGGCGTCATCGGACAATGGGGGCAAGTACGAGAAGGTCTCGAACTTGGTCATGCCGATGGGGTTCCACACCTGCATGCACTGCACGCGGCTGCCATTCTGGACTGAGCTCAAGGTCTGAGCCTTGCTGGAGAACAAGGTAGCGCTCTTGAGGCCAGAGAAAGCCTTCACGGAGGAGGCCTCGGAGGTCATCACTGCGGATGAAGCCGCAGCGAAGGCAGCAGGGGCCACAACAGTGGATGCAGCTACGATGGAGGCCATTGCACACAGTCTTAGAGCAAATGATGTGATGATGGCACACCACGGTAGAACGAATGCTGCAGGGTATGATACACGACAGAGCTGCAGAGAAACGCTCTTATGTAGAAACTGAGCCCAAGAGTGATAGTCACATTTCCACCACGAAGTCGATGTCGAACACTGTCCACACAATGGCTTAATCTTCTCAGGCATCAAATTGGTCATCCATTGTCATCGAGTTTGGACAGACAAGGGGAGGTATGAGCGAAGCACACTATTATCCAACTGTTGAGTAATCTTCGTGTGCAAGCCTTGAGCTCTGTCGGCACCACCGAAAGTAGTTCGAGGTACAATCGATTCGTAAACCTAGTAATTACTGTTCAAGGTACTGCCGAAATGCTACCTCGTTCAGCGATGATGTGTGTTGGTTGCAGTTGCAGAGGCTGCTATTTTTTCTTCTGCAATCCGCTTTGAAGAGTGCAACATATTTGGATGTGTCTCACATAGCAGATCTGTCATGTATTATTAATCTAGTGTGGGAAGGGGGAGATGTAAAAAAACAGAGTTCACTTACAACATTGTCGGACGGAGATTGTGATGAATAATACCAGAAAGAGGGTAGTATTTTTTCTGAAGAGGAATTTTCGCATGATAGTAGTTGCTTGTCAATGATAATGTTGTGACAAGTTCTTTCTGAACGGGTGTTATTTTGCCTTGTGAAGTATATTGCGCTCTGCGATATATCGAATCAGGGGTTGGTAGAAAATGGGGTTTGACAGGGGTACTGTGTCACAGTAAATGGGGCAGTATGTAATGTTTTCTTTTCATGGAATACAATCAATCGGTCAATGAGCAAGTATTTTGAATTTGTCAGAGCAGCATTGAAGGTTGGGAAAGGCTTTAATCGTGATGGTCATGTGTCGAGAGAGTTCTAAAGCGATTACCATTGACGTTGTGCAAGTCATAAGACACATATCATACCCAAAGGATCCTTCAATATTTAATGATAAATGGTGACCGCAAGTAGTGTACACATAATTCTTCACTTATCAACTACGCTGCAAAAGTTCGTGTACTCAACGAATTATTTAGTTGGGCCTGGCGACCAAGAAACCGCAGATCTGGACCTGCTTCACATTGTCAAAGCCCAACACGCGCACGAAGCAGCCAGGGAAGGTTTTCTTGCACTCCTCGATCTCCCTCAACACCTGGGCGGAGTCCTGGCAACCGAACATGGGCAGCTTCCACATGGTCCAGTAGCGACCGTCATAGTACCCAGGGGATGAGTTGTTGGTACGAGACACACCGTTGGCGTTCTGTTTATGAGCCACGCCAGCCATTACGATCAGTAGGCTTTAAGAAAATGATAAACCCTCAACTCACACATTCAGCCAATGAAAAGCTCCGCTCTACTAGATGGTACACTACAATTGCAACAGTCAACAGGGATAGAGTAAATTGCAGCAATCAGCTGTAAAGGCAGCCGACAACCGTACAGAATCAGTACAGCAAAAACCAGGGTGTGAGGCTTACCACATCGAACTCGAGGCAGGGGATGAGATTCTGCTGGATCATGTACTCCACCTGCTTGGCGATGGCGTCATCGGACAATGGGGGCAAGTACGAGAAGGTCTCGAACTTGGTCATGCCGATGGGGTTCCACACCTGCATGCACTGCACGCGGCTGCCATTCTGGACTGAGCTCAAGGTCTGAGCCTTGCTGGAGAACAAGGTAGCGCTCTTGAGGCCAGAGAAAGCCTTCACGGAGGAGGCCTCGGAGGTCGACACTGCGGATGAGGCCGCAGCGAAGGCAGCAGGGGCCACAACAGTGGATGCAGCTACGATGGAGGCCATTGCACTCGACAAGAAGGGCAATACAGCAAAAAAGCTCAGGGATTGTTCGAGTAAGGTAGACTGATGGTCGTTATCTGTATCGGAGGAGATGGAGTTATGTAGGCACTGATCCCAAATCCAGAACCGCATACTGGACGCTGAATAACGTCCACAAACTTGAGAGCGTTATCTTTTCAGAATTTGATTGGTCCAAAGAAACTAGACTGTGGATGTACGGTTAGAGAAAGGTCATTAAAGTACGCAATCTCGATTTCTCATGAGACTGGAAGATGAATAGATCCCTACATCCGAGACCCTTGTTATTTCTCGTCTGCTGTAACTCAGAATGTGAACCTCGGCATGGCGGGATCCAGCATGTGCACGGATCATAGGAATTCCGCATCCGAATGCACTCCGTACCCATATACTTGACGAAGAGTTGCTACTGGAAATCGCACTCTCTCACGCTGCACCAGGCGGGCCAGCCTGGCGCCACTGGAGTCACCGGAATGTCGAGATAATTCCCAAGAACCCAGTAATTGAGACTCTGTTTCCGATTTACTTTCACAAGTGCCGGAAATTGTAACCATCGTCCGAGTTCCCTTTCCTACAAGTGCGGAAGAAATTGCGAAGTCCTTTAGACCCAGCTTGTGTTTCTGGAAACTGAAATTGATTTGCGCAATTCAATTTGAAGTACGAAGATAACGTCAAGTATTTGATGGCCCGGAAAAGCCTTGTTTAGATAATTGTTGCAACGTATTCCGGTTAATTATGCTTATCAAGGATTGTTAAACGGGCCAGGTTTCATTGACGTAGTTTCTCGTGGCTTCACAGGCATCTTAAGAGGTGGAATGCTGGTAAATTGCTGCCGGGGTTGTGTTGCGAAAGCAGTTGCAAATTCATGTTAATCCATGGTGCAAGTTGAGTGATGGGCTGCTCGATATCAGGCTCATATGCAGAGAATTGCAATTTTCTGTAAGTGAATTGTATGCTTGCGGAATCTGGTTGACGGCACGTCGATGCGTGTAAAAGAACACGGCAACAGAACTCTAATTCTAGTCTGAAAGAACAAAGATGTCCGTTCGACCACTCCCACTTCAAGCATGTCTTGGATTCGGCGGAACAGTGGCCAATGGACTCATCCTGCACCCCGACAAGAAGACGCTAATCTACCCTCTCGGCACCACCATAGTGTTGCGTGATAGAGTATGACCTCCGACTGCCATTTTTCACCGTCCTCTTGATCGCAATAATCGTTTGCTTCTCTGACATTGAAACAGTTTCATCATCATCACGGTCGCAACCCTAAAATGTATTGCAGATAATGCTCAGCTTTGCAATAACCTAAGTGGCGGGCGGCTTTTTGGTGATGTGAACTGCTGCAGGGGGACCTAACAAAGCAAGAATTCCTGCAAGGACACAATAACCAGGTCTCATGTGTGACGGTGTCGAGAAGCGGCAGATACATGGCCAGTGGCCAAATCTCCCCCATGGGATTCTCTGCACCCATCATCATTTGGGATTACGCATCCCGCAAGCTGGTACACAAGCTGATCCTCCACAAGGTATTCCATCCACCTTTTACTTCATGACCTTTGCGGAAGGAAAGAAAACTATAGTGGAATAAATTGCAGCGAGTAATTTACAGCTTCAATGGTGGCTGACTCTCAGGTGAAAATTCAAGGGCTTGACTTCTCCTTTGACGACGAATTGCTCACTTCATGGGGGGGCACTGACGATTGCAAATTGGTCATCTGGAGAACAAAAACAGGTCAGGTTCTGTTTCTAAAGTCACACGACAACATATACTTGTGTGCACTGAAGAAAATTTCAAATCCTTCTTCGATACGTTTTCTGCAGGTGAAGCCATCTGCGGAAGTCCAACCCCTGTCGATTACGCAATCGCTGCCAAATGGGCCAATCTTACTCGCAACACTCTCATCACAACAGCAGACATGAAAATCAACGTGTGGGAAGTGGACGCAGAAAACCGCAAGCTCTACCCCAGTATCTGTGACACCGGAAAACGCAAACGCGTCAATCAATGTGTGGTATGACAGGCTGGATCACTGGAAAACCCCTGCATTACAGAGCAAATCTTACGTATCATTCAGAGTATCGTAAGCCAATTTTTTCATGCTTGCTTGCAGGTAATCGACGACAAGGATGAGTACATGTATGTGGGTACCCGAAGTGGAGATATCATGCAGGTGGGGCAATTTTAATCATAAACCACGAAACGCTTTGAAACTGCGTGCACGCAGTGTGCTGAAGCTTGAACAATCAATGGTGTTGGGTTGGAGTGCAGGTGAGTCTGGGTCCAAAGATGTACAGAGCGGGAGGGCCGTTGCCGATGATAGAATTAGGAGTGCTGTGTTTGCAGTTCACTCCCTTCAAAGATTTGGTATGTGGTGGAGGAGATGGCACTGTAAACCTGGTTCGGCTCCCGAGTTTCAAGAACGTGAAGAAGCTCAAGCTCCAAGGCGGAGTGACGTCCTTGACGGTCGCTGGGCAGGGCGATAGGGGCTCCTTTGAGTTATACGCAGGCACTGCCATGGCGCAAATATATCTGGTCAAGTACGACGGGGCTACGAACGCAATGACGGCGATGCTGATTCAACGCTGTCATTTCAACAAGATCAATGACATTGCCTTCCCAATGAAGTACAGCGACCTGTTCTGCACAGCTTCCACGAATGACATCAGGATGTGGAACCTAAAAGAGATGAAAGAGATACTTCGCATTGAGGTTCCGAATTCGGAGTGCGAGGCCAAGGACTCCCTCAACCAAGAGTGTCACTGTTGTGCATTCATGCCGGATGGAAAGACGATCATCAGCGGATGGAGTGATGGAAGGATTCGAGCATTTGCGCCCCAAACAGGAAAGTTGCAATACACTATCGTCAATGCGCATCAGAAAATGGGAGGTTACGTGGGTGCAGTTGACACGGTACTAATCTATCACGCAAGAAGAATATCCACTCATCTTCTTCGAATAGTCGCCAATTACAGTATATTCTTCGCTGCAATTCTAATTGGCGTGCTTCTCTTCTTCACATGGAATCGACTTCAACAACTAGACCGATAATATTCGCTAATTTGAAATGGCAAACTGTAACTGGGCGCGCTGGTTCTGCAACAGAAATGCTTTCAAGGGGTGTATGCAATTGCAACGACTTCAGATAGTTTGCGCATCGTCAGCGGCGGAGTTGAGGGAAATGTAAGCTTCTGCAAAATAAACCAGTACCATGAAAATCGCTGCCCCTAAAGATAGACGTGAAATTCAAGTTTTACATAGAATCCGGGACGTACCATGAGTTAGGAGAATTCTAAAGATTTCTGTACTAGCATCGGAGAAATCAGGAGGAAAATTTGAGATACCTTTTGGCATGTCCAGACCTTAAGTATAGAGCAAGCCTCAATCAGGTCTTGTACTGGGCCAGGTTCGAGTGTGGAGAATCGGCAGCCAAAGCCACTCCATGCTAGCTTCAATGAAAGCCCACACTCAAGCTTGCACTTACATTGCGGTGAGCATCTTAGGGCCTTGGTTTCCTAGAAAATTTATAATACCCAAGTGAAATCCTCATGCAGTCAACCTTGCAAGGTTGGAGCAGACTTCAGTTGCTAATTCATGAGGTCGGGAACTGTGGACAGGTAAAAAAAGACAACAGCGAGTGTGTAAGCTGCAGCAATGATGGCTCCTGCATGGTTTGGGATCTCACAGTAAGTGAACATCGCTGAACTTTAGATTTATTCTGGACTGCCGGACACTTGGTTCCCATACCCTCAAAGAACTGAGACCAGTTGTTTTGATGCAGAAATATACAAGAAACAACAGCATTGAAGCAAATAATTTCTTCAAGTCTGTGAATTATCATCCAGACGAAAGCCAGCTTCTCACTTGTGGTACAGACCGCAAGGTAATGTCACGTCCCTGTTCATGTCGTGCAAGAAAATCATGTACAAACTTGATTTGGAAGATTTTTGATCTTCGCTGTGAAAGCTGCAAAGGAATCCATGTGACGAAAATCTGGTTGGACATTCAGATCACATTTTGGGATGCGTACGATTGTCAGCCGATTCGAGTGATAGACGGCTCCCTATCAGCAGACATGCTCAGCCTGGACATCTCCCCAGACGGGGAAGGGTTTGTGAGTGGAGGCGGGGACAGAGAGGTGAAGCTGTGGAATTATGACGAAGGACATTGCTATTTTGTTGGACTTGGGCACAGCTCTAAAATCTCCAGGGTACATATCCTCCCTCACCATCTCCAATGCACATGCTGCCTGGTAACACCACGCCAGAAAACGTTGCATTGATGTCAGTATTTAACTGATGGAATCTATTCTGACCTTGTTCGTGACTTATGTGTGTGTGTGATACATCTGTGGCAGATAAAAATCAGCCCAAATATGCAGAAAGTTGTGTCAGTGGGAGAGGATGGTGCCATTCTAATATGGGACTACAAAAAACCGATCTCGGATTCCCCTCCCGACAAGAATGTCAACTTTAAGAGTCCTAATTCCCCTGAGTGACATGAAGAGACTGTAACATTGTAACACAGGGGATGCTCGATCGCTCCGCTGTGTAACTCTGTATCGTGCTCCAACCACTATTTCACAAACGAGCGAGATGTATTCAAATCCATTTGCTGCGATTCAGACCACATATTGGTCGAACGAGAATCCTGGGCTCGCCTCGAAAGTTTCAAGCATTGCAACAGACTTTACCAACTTAGACCCATATCTACAAACAATCATGCGAGCATTTGTAGGGACAGCTAGGTGTGAAAGCAAGCATGAATCGACTACAGGAACACGGTGCGCGTGTTAATAACTTGAACCCTTGCATTTCCTTGAGTACGCCGATGCCAAGTTTGCACCACCGCTTCAAACTGTACATGTGAAGTAGGGTCTACAGGCGCAAAACACCTCTACGACCAACCTGTTGTGAAAACAAGTGAAAAAAGACTGCCAAAAGTATGAAGCATCCTGAGCTACAAAATACGCTAGGGCTTCAACTCAACAATCTGGTGCTGCAATAAAACATCTAGTAACATTCGAAAGCCTCTTGCCTCGCGAGAAAAAAACCGGTGAGAGTGGGAAACTCGAAGACGACCACCGTGGCAGGAAAAACCTGTGAACAGGTGCACAGAAACCGTCTTTGAGGTGAAAAAAAACCGCCTCACAAATCGATCGCGTTGATTAACGCATCGATGTTACGCCCGCGGAGGTGGAAAGTAGGCCAGGAAGATACACTAGGAGTGTTATCGTCATCTTTGTTTGTCTTCTTCTTCTTCTTCTTGGGAAGCTCGAGGTCAGCAGGAAAGAGGTCTCGAGTCCAATGGGATGAACACTCGCGCTGAGGTGCAACAGACGCGCTTCCTCCTCCACGCAAAAGCTTAAGCAACCTTAAGATTCCACTCTTAGATTTTCTAGGGAACTTAGGACAAAACAAAAATCATATTCTTGATCTTCGAAAATTCGAGGGGGAGGCTAAATCAATCTTTGACATCTGAAAGGAACGAAAAAACAAAAACAAAAACAAAACCGTTCACTCACATCTTAGATGTCAGGCACCAAAAAATGCCGTTGAATCGATGTGTGAACAGTTTCGGAAAGGTCGAACCTTCTTTGCTCGTTGCAAGAATCCTCGACAAATTCCAGGAAAGATCAATTCAACATGTGATACAAGTCACGTTTAAACCTCTTCGGCACAGATTGGGACGTGGGAGCTGAAGCAATCCTGACATCGGGGACTAGGAATGCGTCCTGAAGATACGAGCCTTGCTTAATATGGCTGATCCTCTGCAATTGCCTTGCAACACGGTTAGACTTGGGCGATGCAGACAGCGTTGGAGGCGGAGGAGGAAATTGAGGCACTTCGTGCATAGAGAACATCTGTGCTTCAAACAAGCTCAGATCGGCAGTCCAATCGTAATCTCCTTCCACTGCGGTCTCACCTTCCATCATCTTCGATGTGGAAAAGTCGGTCGGGTTGAACTGCTCATTGCAATCCGCAAAGTTGAGAAGCTCGTCGACGCGCCATCCAGGTACAGCGTCCGTTAAAAATTCAGAGATGCTGCTCTTGCGCATGGATCCGGAGCTTGAAACGCCCATGGAGGGGAGAGAGACTAGCGGCGGAGTTTGTGAAGCTGAAAACTGCTGGGTCGGCTTCGTCGCCTCTGCGACAGCTTGAGCATTTACTTTTCCTGAGTATGCAGCTTGGACCATTTCTAGAGTGAAAGTTTGCACTGGAGATGGGCTGCACACGCTCCCAGAAGGCTTTGCGTTGGATGTCTGTTTACTGAGGATGCGTGGCCCCGGAAGAGTAGACGTGGAGCTCGAAAGATTGGACGAGCGACTGCTATGTGAAGACTGCGACATCGAGGATGCAGCAGGGCTCGCCACCGGAAGGTAAACCTCTGGAGCGATGGGCTTCACGGGGACTCCCTTAACGTCCTCTAGATGCACCCTGGTTCCGGGCACCAAGTAGCGCCTGTGGTTGCAAGAGAGGGTGTTGGCCGTGTGAATAGACACGTCACAATCTCGGCATAGCAACGCGCGGTCCTCCAAGCAGAAAAAAAATCCTCGCTTCTCCTGCAAAATTTCGGATTCCACTTCACACAGTAAGATAGCTGAGCATCCCTCGGATCACTCGGAAATATCCGCCCTGAGTTTCGTGTCAACAAATTTAACCCTAATGAGTGAGATTCTTCACTTCAGAACCGAGATTCACCGCAGATTCATCTCATTTCAAACTCTGGTAATATAATCTGGAAACATGTCACGATGTGATCCCTAGCCCAATGCAAAGATGCAACAAATTTCATATGTTTTCACAAAGGTTGCTTTTCCTTCACTAGCTGTTCAGAAGTTCGAATAAATGAAAATAGCTTCTATGATCCAGTACGGCTCAGAACAAGTGAGCCCAAGCTTTCAGTTAATAGAAACCAGGACCCACCTGGCAAATGTCGCACTTAGCTGGCTCCGGCACCGAGTGAAGGGCAACTCGACCATGCTTGTTTGCAGTCTGCGTTCTAGCATCGCACTTAGTGCACAGCGCGGCTTCTTCCGCGCAGCACAGAACCGACGCAGGATTCCTCTGGCACACCCCACACTGTATCTTCATCTTTACTTTCTGCTGATCCGCTGTCATCGATTTCCGCAACTGCCACACCTCTACACTGAAGCGAAAAAAAAGAAAACCAACCAACCTGAACCGCCGCTCCTGCTCACTACGAAGCGAGAAAAAAAAAATATATATATGGCAAATGTTCAAAAACAAACAGCAGAGATACAACTATCGATGATAGACTGTGCCTCTGCCTCTTGCACCAGGATTCCTCTGCGTCGAAGTTCAAATCTGTCTGTCAATCTGTCGAAACAAAAGTAAAGTACAGAGAGGGAAAGAAGAGAGGCGAGAAGACTGGCGGTCCATTCGGAGCTACAAGCATGTTTTACAAAGGCTTCAACTCTGTGAGGAGCAGGCAAGTAGTGTTCACCGTGGAGGGACTGGAGAGAGCTGGCGAGACAGTGGGACAGGAGAAAAGTGCAGGAGTGGGGTGATGTGAAGGTGGATTTGTACTGAAAAGGCGAAAAGCGCGTAACTTTTGGAATGAAGAACCCGAGCGATCAGCAGAAGAGCAGATGGCCACGGCGTCGTATTCGGAGCGGGTCTGGCATGAGCTGATGATGAGGGCAACCAGATTGGGGATTGCCGACCAAGCTTCTTCGAGCCCTCACCACTGCGCATGGTAAAATCCACATCTACAGCGGCGTCGCCAATCGACGCCGTCGGGTAATCTCCACCCCAAGCCTCTACACCTGCTGCTCAACCTGACCACATTCAGGCACTCACTGCCACCGGGACTGCTACCATTCAGCTGCTTCTGCCCCCTTGGTAGTTGTTGGGTACCCCCGTCCCTCCCACAGTTATCATGTGACCACGATCCGGCCATCTTTCCCATCTTTTTAAGGAAACTAAACTCTGCTACATTTCCAGCATAGAAGCTTCTTTAAAAAAACTGTTGGTTCCGGCACCTGCTTTGTCTTTTACCTATTTCCGCCTCGTCTCTTACACTACTCTTCATTGTGAAACCTCTTTATTTGTCGGGTGATTTTGTGTAAACAATTGCGAGCAAACCAGGTGGTGGTGTTGTTGGTGGCGAACAATGAGTGCATTACAGCACAAATTCTGTAGTTTTCACAGCGTGCGTTGGAATTCCTCATTGGGTTCAGGTTCGTCTTGTTCTACTCATCAGCCGTCGCCATGTGCGGCTCTGTAGATGAGAAGACCGCAGCTCCTCCTCACAGATGACACTCCCACACATGTCAGGATTCAAGGTCATACATTCATTCAATTACTCGTGTGTTCACAATTGCCTCATATTCTACTAAAAGGCCAGGCTTGCCATGCTGTACCTCGTACTGTACAAATGTGAAGAAAAAAAAGAAAAAAGAAACAAAAAAAGTGCGCATGAACTTGTCCATTTCTAGTACCCTATAAAACACTAATAATAAAACAGTGAAAGGTTTTTTTTGGAATAAATGCATATTAATAAGTAATTAAAGTAGTTGCATGCATGCTTGCAGGCAGTAATTACTTCTACCAACAGAATTCTGATCGAGAACCTTTGCCCAACCTGATATTTGCAATTATTATTAATCTTTTTTTTAATCCAATAATTTTCTCCACGTTTTTCAACGCTATGGACAAACATAGAGTTCCCAGAGTGGAGATGGATGAATAGTATTAGGTTGAACGTATGACCAGGGAAGGCAGATCTTCAATAAGCCAAGATTGAAGAGGGCCAGAGCTGCTAATCTCGGGGTCCAAAGACCTAACCCAAGTGGCTGTTTCTGGTTGAACCCAATACTCTGAAAGACTGGGGCTATATGGAAGAAAAAAATAATGGAAACATGTGGCTCAGTTTGGAGTTTTATCCCTCTGGCAAAGAGCTGAGCATGTGATGAGAATCTTGTAAATCATGTCTGAGCCATTCAAGGTCTGGAATCTTACCCTGCCTCCATGAAGGCAATTATTACTTTTTACTTCCCTCAAAGAATAAAATATTATTCTTAATCTCTTCACATGAGCCATAACATAATTGTGCCATTTGTTGCAATCATAAAGCAACAAGTGTGAAAGACAAAAATGATAAAACAAGGCTAAACAACATGAAAAAGAAAACACTTTTTGAATGTTTGCATGAACACATGCCACTGGTTATACTCTTGAACTTTTTATCTTCTCATTATGTTTCACAGAAATTCCAGTGTGTCAGCTCTCCTGTCTTCAGCCAAATGCCTCATCATATGGCTCTACTGGCATCCACCAAAAACCATAAACCCAAAAATCCTAGAAGGTTGAATCCAGAACCCTAATTCTATTCACATGTTCTATTAACAAAACTTCAACATGTGAACATGCAGCCTGAGAAAGGAGATGTAAAATCTCAAATAAGGATGTTAGATTTTGTGATTTCAAATCTCAAGAATTCAGTTTTTGACAATTGATAGTATTCTTTAAATAAAATACATGGATGTAGAAAGTTTTTGAGATGAATTATCAAATTTAACTTAAATAGTGACAAAAAATAATATTAACAAGAAAACAACAACAAAAAATTAGAATCTGAATTTAAAATGAGACATATGAAAGTAAAACTGTATGACGATGTCCTCAGTGTTTTCAGACTTTTGAAAACATCTTGACAATGTAATACTTGTGCTACTTTTGAACCACTTAGTTTGTTACAAATGTACAAACAAACATACACAGATGATGGTTTTGCCAAGCTAAAAGTTATTATACTACAAAATATGAACTCAGTGTTTGTTCATAGCAGAGCTGTGAAGAGGGAGAAGCCCATCACATCAACCAATTGGTGTCTAAGCGTGTGCTGAGGTTGACAGAAGACAAATGCAACCACATCCATGTTGAGGCACAATTTAGGGCCTAATTTGGAAGATAGCACAATTAGTACTTGGTCCTAACCCTAGTTGTTGCAGGATCTGCTACTGAAGGTCTTACATATACACCAAAACCATGAGAAACAGATTTGAATTGGGATCCAGCTATAGCAACATCCTCATATGTCAGATGCTGAAGGTCACTCATATGCATACACACAAGTGTGATGATGATATATAATAATTAAGGCAACAATTACAAAAATTTCAAAAAAGTGATAATGTGGTTCTCAATTTATTCAAGAGCAATTATAATCTATCACAAAACATTAAATACAATCTAAACCCTGCTTTTTACATGTATTATAGAGAAAAGCATGCTACAAGCACATAGATAGAGAGAGTCTCTTTGGTTCAAGTGGCAACAAGCCCCAAACATTTAAGGACCAATGCAAACATGAAGTGTAGGGCTTGTCTCCCCCTCTTTGTATGAATTGGTTTCATCCAAAGGTGTCTTTGAGTTCAAAGTCATTACACAAGACATTCAAAAAGTAAAAGTGCCCAAAAGATGAAGCAATGCCCTAATCCTTACAACCACCAAGTGTTCCCAAAAAGCATTCCAAATTCTTAACTCGTGAAACATACAACCTAGCCCAAATGGTTGGGATGATTTAATTCTACAATCTTTTCTTTATGGATTGCGAAACAAACTACATCCACCATGGACAATTGTTGTGTTACTTGGGGTCGTATTAACAGTACTCATAAGTTGTTTTGCAGAGGCAATTGTATATTGATAAAACTCATTATTATTATTAGACTGCATTTCAAATTGTTGGAATTGCCACTTATGCATGAATAAACAAAAACCAATAATAGGTATCATGGATGAGGTGACTTTGAACTTCACATTGCTTTCGTGACAAAGCAATATTAGAATTAAGAGACACTGCAAATAGTTTAGAAGCTACAAGAATATATAACTTTAATATAAGCATACTTTTTGACGAAAAGTTGGGTCCTTTTTGGAATCTACTCAGTGTTCCCTTGCTGAGTCATATCATAGTATTTCAGATATTGATTAAAATAGATAAATAAATAAACGAGGCTAATAAGTACATTTAAAGCAGCCTCTGACAGTCAGGACTGAAGGTCAAAGCCAATGCCAGGTAGACCCAAAAGCTCTTCTATCCTTGTTTTACTAGGGCTGGCGTGGCAATCGAGGGAAAATATTAGTTCCATCGTGGGTCCGCGAGGCTCGATCATACACAATGCAGGATAATAGACGGGTCTAACAAATAAAAAAACATTTTTAGTGTGAATGGGCTTGATCTCTGCCTTCGTGTTCGAGTAACAGGCATGGACATTTATGGACGACAGTGTGAACAGGGAGAAATGTGACCCCCAACAACAACAACAACAACGATCCAGCTCTGCATGGGAAGAGTGTAAATTTATTGTTTCAATGGAAAAGGGCCACATTTTTGAGAGATGCCTCTATGGGTTGGCATTACGGTATCTAACGTGTTACCTGCATTGGTGTCTGATTAGCATTACAATTCATCACCACACAATGTATTATTTATAACAGGTAAATGATTACATGTCTCAACATCTTTTATACAAACCATCTCCAAGGATAAACCAATGGTATAATCAAGATGACACAAAAAACCATTTCCAATGGGGTGCATATCTCACTGTTTTCATCAAACATGAAGCAACAACTCCACTTTTATCAATCAAAGATCAAAATCTGCATGTTGTTGCTATAGATTGCCAAGAGTAGCATTGTGAGATCTCTAAATGTTTTCTAGTTAATAATTTTTTGTGGCCAACGGCATGGATTTCCACTAGTATATTAAAAAAATGAAACAAGAAGTTGTATGATCCTATCTTTTGATTTCCTCCCAATCTTTTTTGAAAAATCACATCACTTGAGAGTAAACAAGGTTTTATTTTGTTTTGTTTTGTTTTGTTTGTTTGTTTGTTTGTTTGTTTTTTTTTTTGTTACTTTGATACTAGATAAAAATTTCAATCAAACTCATATATTCAAAGCACATTTATTTGCTCTAGGTTGTGCATGTCCTTTCAAATTGTCTTTTGGTAATTGAAATAGGACAAGGAAAAATAAAATAAATGAATGAAACATTTATCTACAAAGAATAGGCTATTATTGCATAGGCATTTTTATGAATTTCCTACTCAGTTTAAAATACTTTCATGGTTTCTACCACTATTTTCATGCTTTTATTTATTTTTTTGTTACGTGTGAATATGTAATTAGTTGGTTTGTTATAATACTATCATCATTATTGTTATGGTTTTTGTTTTTTCTTTATAAGTACAAGATTTTAAATTTCTTTTATCTGAAGTGTTGTAAACACACATAAAAACCAATACAAAAGTACAATTCGTAAGTACATTTTTTCTAAAATTACCAATTAAAATTGAAGATAAGTTGTTTTTGAATATATATATACATAATGAAATGCATTAGGAAATGTGATGTCAAGATATTATTGAAAAAAACCTATGTTGGAATTTTACCAATTAGTGTAGAAGATTTGAAACCACACGATAGAATTTATTGTTGGTTCTGTCAACTAGTTTATAGAAAGACTGTATTATTGATTAATAGTTAGTTAACTTTTAAAATTGACTAGATTAAAATGCAAAAAAATAATCAGTACATAAATAAGTATTCAAATACTTTATTTGATTGAAGTGCAATCCAACTGAGAAAATGTCTAAGTCATAGTTGAAGCTTTTGAAAACGTGGGTCTAGTTATTGTTTATATAATTTAAATGAGGAATGCAACATTACTGTTTTAAGATTTCAATCAATCAAAACATAAATTTAGAAATAGTTCAAGGGTATGAGAATATACAATTTGATTAATAAGTAAAAATATTATTTCAATTCTAGATTTAAAAAGAAATAAAATTATTAT